TGGGCCGCGGAGACACGGCCCCCACCTGGTGGATTCGGGCTCCGGGGCTTCCCACGAAGCAGCTGCAGCCAAGTTTGAAGCGCTGGTTCCGCGGCCGAATCAGCCGCGTGATCGAGCCTCTGAAGCACAGAGCATTCCTCCGACGTGTGAACTCAGTGTGTATCCCGCTCCGGGACTGTTTTTCCTTTGTTCTCCTTCGCCCAGTCCCCACTGCTTGTATTCTAAGCAATCAGTCCCGTGTCTTCAAGGAAGAAGGGACTACAGCCAGAGGGAAACCGGAGTTGAGGGACATGTTTCTTTCTTTATTTTTTTAACAGGAAAGACTTGAACCTTTTTAAAGTGCGGGGAAGTATCAGGAGAGAGGGCAAAGCTAAGACACAGAAGGAAGAGGGGACCGGGATGATGGAGGGGGGGTGCAAGGTGGCACCCGGACAGAGGCGGGTCTGCCAGCGCAGGGTGGGTGCGGGGTCCCTGACTCCCGCAGGACAGGCGTCCGGGTGGGTAGAGAGACGTCTGTCTGTTAGAGCTGGGACAGTGACCGGCGGGACAGGATGCGGGACAGGCGTCCGGGTGGGTAAAGCTGGGACAGCGGGGCAGGAGGGCTCCGGACAGAAGAGGCGGACCAGCCACCGCGGGAAGGAGTCGCCGCCACGGGCAGCCAGCAGGGCTGCGGGGCTGAGGCCGCAGTGACCCAGGAGAGGCCCGGGGGCGCCCGCTGCTCCCCGAGTTGCAAGTCTCTGCAGACCGTGGAGCTCCTTGGTGGAGGGGGAGGCCCCTCTGAATTGTCAGTAAGCCCCGCGGAGCCGGAACACATCGGAAACTGCATTGTGCTCTTGGCCACGAGGTGGCACCATTTACCCTTCGGGGGATGTGTTTTGTGTTCCCCGTGACATAGGGACAGTGGTCGGCAAACTCATTAGTCAACAGAGCCAAATATCAACAGTACAACGATTGAAATTTCTTTTGAGAGCCAAATGTTTTAAACTTAAACTATATAGGTAGGTACATTGTTATTAACTTAATGAGGGTACTCCTAAGCTGGCCTTTGCTAAAAACGTCCTCAATCTGATTGAGGTACGTTCGCTGAGGTCGACCCCTTCCAACTCGTGCATGGATGGGGGCTGCGAATCCCCCGGCCCGCCTGGGCCGCGTCTCCCTTCCCCCGACCGACCAACCGACCGACACCCCCCACTTCTTCTAATGCCACTTCTTCAAAATAGACTCGCCCAGGCCAAAAACCGACTTCTGCACATGGGCCACGAAGTTTCCATCGCACTGTCAGTGTGCGCCCGCACGTGGTATTTTGTGGAAGAGCCCACTCAAGGGGCCAAAGAGCCGCCTGTGGCTCGAGAGCCGTGGTTTGCCGACCACTGACATAGGGGGAAATGAATGTGGGAGCCTGTAACAAAGGCAGGTTGGGCCTAAGGAAGGACATGGTGTGTTTAGAGAAGTGTCTGAGTTGCTTCCTATCAAGAAGAGAAGGGCCCTGGCTAGTGTGCTCAGTGGTTAGAGAGCCGGCCTGATTCCCTGTCAAGAGCAAGTACTTTAGTGTCAGTTTTGCTCCCACCTCTGGTCCGGGCGCTTGTAGAGGCAACCAGTCGCTGTGTCTCTCCAAAATAGATTCTCTCTCTCTCTCCCACCCTCTCTCCTCCCTCCTACTCTCTTTGAAGAGCAATGGAAAAAATTTCTTCAGGTGAGGATTAACACACACCAAAAAAAGAGAGAGAAAGAGGAAAAGGGCTCTGTCCTCGGATTGGCGCACACACACACACCAGCAAACCTGCAACCTCGATAAATATGGATTAAATAAAGATGAGCATAATTGCTAAGAGATCAGCGACGATGTGGCAGCTTGCATTTTGAGGAGAGACCATTTTATGTAACTTGACCTGGACATCTCCCAGACTTCCTACTCTATGGGTGTCCCTCACAGACTTTCGGATGTAGTCACATGTATGATTTTCATGTTCATTTCCATCTTTCAAAATATTTGCTGAGAAGCAAGCAGGGAAATTTCCCCTCCTCTGCCCCATCTCGGCTCTCATGGCCACATGTTCCTCTTTCTGTCCCAGCGTGTGGCCTGTGCCCCACACCCAGTGAGCAAGAGGGAGGGTGTGGGAGTTACGCTCTGGGGCACTTAGGAAGGTACACATGAAGCACACTTTGAGGCCTTCAAATTGAAATTGTATAAATAAGCAATAACAGCATAATTCTTTTTTATTTTTTTAAATATATATTTTATTGATTTTTTGCAGAGAGGAAGGG